AGTATTGTAGAACATAATTAGTTACCCGAAAGTCAACCGTATGAAGTACCTAAGTATCAAGAAGAATATGCCCAAAATCTGTCAGCCAGAATTACACACCAAAACATTTTCACAGACAGTCCAAGGTCAGAATCACCTCGATTCATTCAAACAAAATCATATCGTAAAACAACACATGATCAATATCATTACACAATCAGGAAGAGAGGCACTAAAACCAGAGACTACACAGGAACAAAGATAAATAATGTGGATTAGGCTGACAGATGATATGAAAATATCAGTAAAATGACATATAGTCCAAGAAAACAGAACAATCATGACAAAGTTAGTTGGAACATCCAAATGAATATCAACATAGTAATTAGTATGTTCATGAGGAATTTTCCAAACAATTATTTCTTTGGGTACTGAATTTCATCATGAGCTGATATCGGTTAGAGAACCAGTGGAAAACCAGCTGGAATACTGGACAGCTGTTTCGTCCTAGTTTGGGACTCCTCGACAGTGCGCACCCACCGGCAGGATTGGAACCCAGGAACTTCCGGTTAAAAGGTGAGCTCGTAGACCACTAAGCCACTTAGACCTGATTCAATGGGCAGTGCATGAAATCTAACTTCTGCCAATTCACGATGTAGCGCGACCGCTAGCTATTAACTCAGATCAGTTCCATTTTACGATGTGATAATTTAAATGATACGTATTAGTGACTTTAAATTTTTTTGAATTTTCAAACACAATGATTTTGAAATTTAATGCTGACATTTATAAAAGCATAATTAACTACTGGGGGAAAATTTATTCAGGGAGGGAAACAAAAGAAACTGAGAAATCATAGAAATTCATTTATCCAATAACTTGATTTATGATATCTTATCGATTTCATTACGATACTGTTTTTAAATATTTCCACTCCTATCAGTCTACCACTGTCTGATGTATTATTATTATTCCATTGTTGTCCATTCTTAACTAACATCCCTCTAAAATGAGTTAAATCTCTCAACAGACTCACATTCATTAGATGAATAGAGGTAAATATTTGGAATTTTAAAAAGCTTTCTCTTCTGAATATTATGTTTATCCCTAAGAGTTGATAATGAACAGAAATAAATGTTTATGATTTCATATCACTGAATAAATATTCAACAAAACTTTACAATTTTAATAAAAAAACAACACATTTGTCTATTCTAACTTCATTTTTTATGAGGAACACAGAGAAGATAAAGGGGATGAAAATAACCAACAAACTACAAGACGCTCCAATCATCATCAATAGGAGAATACTAATTCAAGTCGTCTATTTGACTTACGTAATCTAGATAGCATTGGTTTGACTTCAGATGGCGATATGAATGAGAGAGTCAAAGCTAGTTAGGAAATGGAAAGCAAGAATGGCAAGTCTTTATTATTCTGAGATCAGTGTGGAGATCTACAGCACTCAGCACAACGAACGAGGTTCGAAGTTCTAGTATTAATGTTAAGTGAGTGCTTTTGTTAAGTTCACAAAATTAGTATACGCATCTCCAGAAGCATTATCAATGGGCTGCTGAAGACCCGAATGCGGAGTGACGGGTGGGGATTCTGAGGGTCACACAGTAGAAAATCAAGTAAAAAGGAGACGTAAGTTTGTCAGAAGTCGTGAAGCCAGCTGGGAATGCGATGGCGGAAAACTGAGTGTAATGGAAATGTGCTGTTGAAGGTAACCTTATGCTTCATCCATAACTCAAGGGAATGATAATAATCATCGTAAAAATAAAGCTTAACAGGTGATGAAACCTACAGTCTGAAATTATCTAGAACAATTCTTATAAAAATGTATAAATCAGCTAAGAACTTGGCTGTAACCCGAAAAAAGTATTTTTTTTAATAATATTATTATCACCAATACTATCAAATTATTCATTTCAAATTTCGAAACTAAGTTGAATAATTTATAATCTATAGCTTAGCTATATGACCTGGTACTCATATATGCATACATAACATACATTTAGACTATTCTATGTTTCTACTCAACTGACCTCCGCTTTTAAATTATTCACAATTTCTCTTAGTAAAAAAAATCAGTAAAACCTGTTTATCAGTAGATTTAGATAAAATGACATTGCCGGACATATAATAAAGTTATGAATTATGAATTCAACATCAATTCATCACCAATGTATTCTATTCAATGAAGCCAGCATCTTTTGAAATGATCTGTCAGAAGAAGCACGAGTATGTATATAAACTTGGCGTCGGTGATACAGCGGTAGAATTCTCACCACCCACGCATCACGTTGTCTGAGGCCTGATATCCCGTCGACACACTACTAGACCTATCTTAGTCTGTGAAAAGCCTGACACATAAAGGAGGTTAGGCGTGAGACTAGTGACTCCATGCAGTGAAAAATGATTCTTGATATGCTTAGTTTGAAAAATATCAACTAAAATAGCTGATTAGGTGGCCAGTTGCTATGATTACCATCCAAACAAGAGGTATTTACACAAACACCTAGACACCAGGAGACGATAAATGTCTCACTCACTCAGACATAACTAAGAAGGTGTTATTTCTAGAAATGACTCATCAGACATGTGTACTTAATTCAGTCCATAAAATGGAAAGTGAAATAAGAACAAAAATAAAATTTTAAAAATGTCTGATTAATCAAAAACTGACCTTCAAATTCTAAGATGAAAACAACTAGTAACTAAGCTTTACACACAACCGAACGTACACAGAAGAATACAATAAAAATTCAGCCAGACCTACAAGGTTAACTTTCAGATATTTGTTTGCAGGGATTTCAATGATTACAAGTTTGGTGCTCAATAGTGACTCACTAATGGACGAAGTTGCCTGAAGTTCCATTTGGAATTCTCGACCATTGGTCGCCACCAATTTGGAGAGGAAGGCAAATAATTACCTATGACATTGGCTGGAGGTTGCGTTATATATCGCAAATGGATAGAAGTAAGAACTGACTACATTTAGACGCAGTGGCCGAATGGTCTATGAGGTCACCTTGTAACCTAAAGGCTATAGAGTTCGATGAGTGGTGGGATAAACGGTGGTGTCCAAAACCAGGATGAAGCAGCTGTCCATTACTCCAACTTCAATAATTCTCTGACTGAATGATGAGACAGAATTATCATGTAGATAGAGGATAACTATTGAATTGTTACCATTATTATTACTGAGAACTCCACTCCCAATTTTAGTTCATCTTTTACGGATAGGCTAGGCAGTTCTCCCCTTTTTTGTGTATCAAGAAATAAGGGATTTGTATCGTCAGATTTCCAAACATTATCCTCAGTTGTTGAGTAAGGAAGAGACAAAGTTTATTGGCTGCTCAATTCTGGCTGATTGCATAGATACAGAACAGAAAAATCGATGTTAACAAGGCTTTTAAAGTCATCTACCGCATTCCAACTAATCTTAATTTCATCTTATCAGCTTGTCTAAGCTGAAGTCGTCAGAATTCACTAAGAATGAGTCTTAATTATACGTAACTGCAAGAGCAGTTACATTGGAAGACTAGAAAGACGGGCATACCTACGATTTTCTGAACATGTACCTAAAATTCTATGTTTAAAGGGAACAAATGCTTTAAACAGTGCTATCGTCAGGCACCTCCTTGACATGCGTCATCAGGTGGACGTCACAAGATCGTTCAAAAGTATCAACAGGCAAAAGAGTTCAATTCTCCTCAAGTTTGCCGAAGAGATATCCATCAAGCGCATGAAACGCAATTTATGAGTTCAGAAAGAGGTGGTTATCAGTCTTTCTTGGCCATGGTAACTGGATATTTTCACTCTCTCTGTCTTCTAATTACGTAATGTCTAATATTCACCTAAGGATTACATTTTTTTTATCCTTATTATCGATTACACATGTTTTTGAACTGTAATCCCAATAATCTTAACAACCTGATATTATTTAGAAATCCTCATTACCATTAGTGACCGTCATCCTAGCAAATTATATATAGATATATATGCATATAAACATAACTGTAGAGTCATAAATGGAATTTATCGGAAAGCATATTCTTCGCTCAAACTTTCTTTTGTCTTCTGAAAAAACTGTAGCCAGTTGAGAAGAATCCTCGAAATAATAAAAAATGAGTTAAAATTCTCCTGGCACCTTTGTCGTTCTTGCTTTGTTCAATCAGCCGGACAGATAAGACAACTTTAGGACGTTTGGATTTGCGGACGATTTGTGCCTAATGTCACATAAACTCAAAGATCTATAGGCGAAAACCAACAAACTGGCAGAGGAAGCAGTTAAGACAGGAATCCAATTGAAAATACAGAAACAAATGGTAAAAATAACCGACCAACAACCACCATGACAACAACAAGCACCAGTCACTATCAACGTGAGGCATTTGGAAGATGTAAATTCTTTCACTCATCTAGGAAGCTTCGTCTCAGTTACACTCGTTCCTCATGAGGGTGTCTAGACCAGAATTGGAGAGGTCGAAACAGACCTTCATCACTCTGAAATCAGTCTGGAAATCTTCTGCACTCAGAATAAAGAACAAGATTCGGATTTTAAGCTAAATGTTGAATCAGTCACTTTTGTATGAGTCAGAAACTTGACTTGAGTTTCATAGTAAGCATTTCCAACAGGCTATTGCAGACTTCCATGAAGAGCTTCCTTCTCTGGCTCCGCACAGATACTCAGAAAGAATTGGCAACAAGAAACTCTGGTGGCAAACCATTCAAGAACCCATCGCTCAAGAAATATTCGGAAGAAAATGCAGACGTATCGGATATGCGTTGAAAAGACTGCTGAGTGACGTCACAGCCGACGCACAACCTCGAGTTAAACACAAATGTGAAACGACGAGTTGGGCGTCATTCCGACTGTGATATGAGATATTAACAGTGAGAGATTAGAGACTATGAGAATTGTATGAAGTCTTTAAATATTATGAACAAACAATAAACATTTATTTGGAAACCAAATATCATTAAAAACACATTAAATATAGTACAGTACTCACGGAGCCCAATATAAGTCTTCGACAACTGTGTCTGATGAGCCAGGATTACGTCTACTAGTATCCATTGATATAAATAACTTTATCAATTAGGTTTAATTATATGTCACAGTGATGAATAGAATCAATTAATTAATTAAAGATCCTCTTTCATGTCAGTACAACCGTTGAGATGACTAAAAGAAGTAAAGTGATTGGGTCATATATTAATACTGCTACTAGTACCAATACTAATACGAATGTTATTATTACTATTATTGATATCGTGTAAATATAGATCTGTGTGTGTGTATGTGCGTGTGTGTGTCAGTGAGTGAGTGAGTGAGTGAGTTTCAGAGTGTTGTATACGTGCTTGCTTTGCTCTATGCTTAGGTTTCAACTGATGCCTACCTATGAAATGACAACTTAAATATATTAACTAGCAATCTACTTAATCACTTAATTACATAATCATGATTATTTGTCGTTTGTATTCAGAGATCGGAAAAACAAAGCTTGCTACAAGATTATATAGTTTTTATTCAATTAACCTTAAAACAGTGCTTTATTCGACAACCATATTGTATTTTCATCACGTTTACCACTTAAGCTGATGGCAAATTGATGAGCACCTTCGTGTACACACGCACACACACACACACAAGTACACACACAAGCACAAGCGTGCATCAATGCACAATACCTACCCACATTTATATACACTATGAAACAGTCACACAACTAAAGTTCATAGTTTCTCTATTGCTTCAGTATAAGTATTGTTTTGCATTTCTGTAGTATTAAGTTTAACCTATTGTCATTAAGTTAGACTTAATCTTCAAATTGAAAAATGGATGATTATACTGGTTTTTATAAAGTGGAAAACACAATATTAATCAATAATACTTTAAAAGATTCCAAGAATAACCAAAACAGGCTGTTTCAAAAATAATAATGGTGCTTTCTTTAAGAGATGAAGTTGATAACCTCTCATCTGACCTTTCCTCTTTATCGGGCTTATTACTGCTGGCTAAGTGATGGGTTTTGGCGCGTGCATCAGTCAGGAATCGAACCTGAATCACCTGTTTTGTTGATATTTATTCCATCACTGAACCACAAATCGCTCTTGAATCAGGAGTCGGACTTCGACAGCTTGGGTTACAGTCAGGAATCCTAACCACTAGAATGTGAAAGTGCTATACATTGAGAATAATAATAATAATCACTTTATTCCACAACAATAACAATTTACAGCATGGAATTTTCAGCGTTTCATTTTACATATTGCATTGGTTTAGCTCTTTTGATAATTATATAAATTTATGAAATGTTAAAAATATTGATAATTAATAGGAAAAAATAAAAACCCCAACAAAATCACACCATTTCTAGGTCATAGTGAATAATAAATAAATCATATAACAAATCACACATGCAGTAATATGCATCATTGCATTTTATAGTTTAGTTAATGATTTAAAAGTTGTAAAAGTTCTTTTCTGATATTCGTCTCTTCACACAATACTGGTGCCAAATATGCTACTGTCGAATTTGTATATTTTGTAGTACAAGCATAAATGTTTATGAAATTTCTTCTGGTCTTACCCGAAGAGATACAAGGAAACAATTGTGAATAAAGAGGATGTTCACTATCAGACAAAATAACTTTAGCTAAGTGTTTACAAGAATTCATGCGCCTATTGACAACAGTGTCGGTTAGTTGAGTCAAAGGGATAGCACTCACCCTACTTACAGCCTTCAATGTTCTTCGTAGTATTATATGGTCTTTCTTGAGAAGTAGGGAAATGGACGCAAATACACATCAATCTTTAAATGACGCCGCTTGTAGTAAGGCTGTTGAGTAGGATGCTTTAAGAGAATTTCATGTGTTAGTCGAATTCAGATGCTGATGAATACCTTTTCACATGAAGGTAATTGGTAATGAAAGTATTTAGTTATTTCATGATCATAGTTCACAAATATACCTACGTCATTATTTAAACAACAATGCAATGAATGTAAATAATGTAAACCCCAAGGACTGACTAAATCATTAAAGATAGTGATGACGTCATCTAGGACAAATAAACAAATAACAAGACTCACATAAATGAATAAATAGTAAAAAAATTAAGTGTACCCTGGAGAGCTTCTATACACTGCGAAGTAAAATTGTGGAATAAACCATGCTACAGTGTAAATGCATTTCAAACTGTTTTAGTTGTAAGATGTTTTTGCCACAAGCCGACATCCGTAAGAGAACCACTGAAAACCAATGACCACTGGATAATTGTTTCATCCTAGTTTTGAACTCTTCAGCATTGTCCAACCACAGTCACGACAAGTATCAATCTCAGTATTGTCAAGTTACAGTGTTGTAAGCCTTCTGAACGTTCTATTTTAATAATATAGAACCATAATTATGGCACTTTAATTATTATTGTTCCCTTGGGTTCCTAGTGGAACATAGGGCTTCAACTACACGTCTCCACTTGTTTCTGTCTTCTGCTGTACTTTTCACCTGCGTCCATGTTAATCCATACTGCTTCAATTCCTCTTCGCACGATCTCCTCCATATCACCCTTAGACGTCCCACTCGCCGCTTCCCTTTCGGGTTCCACTCGAGGGCCTGACGCGAGTGGCACTATTATGGCACTATGGTAGACATAAATGTACAAGGATAAGTTTGTGGAGTCTTCTAGTCAAACGTTGATCATAATTCAAACAATTCTGTTCATTTCATTTTGTTCCTATTTTGATTTTGATGACTATTTATGACTCAGACGTGATTAGACAAGAATTTTAAATGAAAAGATGTATCCTCTTATTTGCACCACCGATATTTAAATTTTGATTATTTCTCTGTAGAATCGTTGAAATTATTTGTTTAAATTCCGTTGAGATGTATATGAATACAATTTTTAGCTATGTCTGCTTACCACTTGGCCCCAATGTTTGTAGAACTGTTCGGTTAAATCATGATCAGAGTTCATGTAAGAACAATTCTATTTTTAGATAATTTTATTTGATATAACAGAAACAGTGACATAATATCAGTAACTGGATGACAAGTTGTCAAGCACAGTTTATTGCTCATCAGCTTATCATATTATTATTTAATATTTATTCAAATAAAACATGGTATTCTTCTACATAGTTTTTCCTAAGAAAAAAATTTCATCCTATGTTTTCCTAAAAGGTTGTGTTCAATACTCTGCTGTTGTCATCTATGCTATTCCTGATTATGATGGACTGGATCACGCAACACACGGTGCGGAGTGAGTTGACTGCCATAAGTAAGGCCAACAAGATGACTTTAGAAGATTTGATCTTCACAGATGATTTATGTCTAACGTCACACAAACTCGAAGATTAACGCAATCGAAAACCAACAAGTTTTGGCTGAAGAAGGTGGCACGAAAGACAGGACTTCATTCAGACAGAAAGAGGATGGAGCTGATAACCAACCCAAAAACAACAACAACAAGCATCAATCACCATCAATAGGAGAAATGTAAATGAAATCACTTTTTTACTTATTTAGGCAGAATCCCCTCAACTACAATCTGCACGAATGAGAATGTCGAGGGCAAGACCTTTATTACTTTAAAGTTTAGGAATATACCACATTCAATATAAGGAGCAAGAACCGGATTTTAAACCTTAAGGTTAAGTCAGTCAGTGTTTCCTTTATGGCTCAGAGGCTCTGTGTGCGAGTCAAGGAGATAATTTTCAAGAAGTTTCAGGAATTCGTCAACAGCTACCCTCATTTGATAGCGGAGATTTGGTGTCTAGAAAGGATAAAAATCAAGGAACTCTCTCCAACAATGAATCAGCCAAAAGCCTACCACTCAGCAAATATACCAAAGGAAATAGAGATGAAGTGGAACTACACTGAGGGAACCGTCGAGTAACATCACACGCCAATGGAAAATGGCCAGTCGGGTGACGGAGAGGGATATGGAGAAGATTGTGTAAAGAAGAAATTAAAGCTTACGAGTAATCATGGAGCCAGATGAAAAGGACATCAGAGAAGAAAGTACATTGGAAATGCGCTGCTGAAGCCCTGTGTTCCACTCGATAACCCGAGGGGATAACAACAACAGTAATAATAAACAGCAAGAATTTCATTCTTACAATCTGACTGAATATACTATTAATACTCAATTACAAAATGATAATGTATGTGTACAGTGTTATGCATTGGTTTACTTGACAGTTTCAGCTTAACACATTTTCATATTATAATATATTCATTTTAAAAATACACCGTTTCTTGAGTGTTACACATAAACACAGAAAGTACCCACTGATTCCCATTAAAAAAACTATTGAAAATTCAGTGAAGAAAATTCCCTCCATCGATGAAGTCATCTTCAGTGGCAGCTGTGAGATCGAATTTATACTTTCCTCAAACACTTTATTGTTAGGCAACAGATGGTCACTGATATCCCTCCTTCCTCTGCTATTATTCACCGATGCACTGCTATACACTTTACTATGACCTTCTATTCCCTTGGGTTCCAAATGGAACATAAAGCTTCAACAACATATCTCTATTTCACCCTGTTCTTTTCAATGGCTTTTAGCTGGCGTCAGAATTTTCCATAACCTCTCATCATTTACTCTTGCGATCTCCTCCATGTCACCCACGGACTCACACCCAACTCGACATTTCCTAACTGGGTCCCACTTGGGGTTGTATCTGCAGCGTAATATCACTCAACGGTCTCTTCAACGTGTGTCCAATCCGTCTACATTTTCTTCGGAATATATCTTGAGCTAGTGGTTCTTGATTGGTTCACTGTCAGAGTTTATTGTAGCTAATGCTTTATGAGTATCTGTATGGAGACAATCAGGGCAGCTGCTGATGGAATTGTGCAGTAGGCTGTGTGGAATACATTTCCTCACCTGCTAAGCTTCCAACCCATAAGGAAGAAGTGACTTACCATTAGTATTGGAAATCCAAATCTTGCCCCTTATTCTGAGTGCAGCAGATCTCCAAACTGATTTCAGAGTGATGAAGGTTTGTCTCGCCTTCCCGATTCCGGTTTGGACACCTCCATCCGTGTCAACTGTAGCTGAGACTATGCTTCCTAGATAAGTGAAGGGATTGACATCTTTCAAAAATTTCTCCCGTTTATAGTGATTGGTGCTTGTTAATGTTGTTGGTTGGTTATCTTCATCACCTCTGTCTCCTCCATTTTTAGTTGAAGTCCTGTCTTTTCTTTCAGCCTTTTGATTTTTTCGCCTAAAGATTTTTTTAAGTTTGTGTGACATTAGACATAAATCCTCCATGATGTCCATATCATCCTTACTGGCACGTATTTTAATTAATGTAAATAATAATAATAATTTGCTTTATTCCAGAAACAGTACTAGTGGTACAGTGTGGAATTTTCAGCACATATCTACAATATTTGCATCTAATTTTATCAAACAATTTAAAGGAGTATTTCAAAAAAATAAATGTAAAGACAATAACAACAA